CCTAGTGATACACACACACACACACACACACACACACACACACACACACACACACACACACAGAGCAGGGGTGCCAAAAAAATGTATACAAGAGAACACTTTGGTTAACTTTGCTCAAGCAGTAGTTCAGTGTAATCAGAAGTGACTGGACACTGACGGTAACCACTTTGAGCACCTCTTGTGATTGCAGAAGTCAAATGTGACTTGTATTCATCTTTTGTTATGGGTATATATTGAGGATTACAACTTTAAAACAGTTTTTCTTTCTTAACATGGGTATATATATTTTTTGGCACCATGTGGATGCATGTGTATGTAGCCAAAAAAAGGTATATATACATGTATATATATGTAATTATATACATATATTATATATATGTATATATACATATGTGTGTGCATATATATGTATATATACATATGTGTGAGCATATATATGTGTGTGTGTGTGTGTGTGTATATATATATATATATATATATATATATATATATATATATATATATATATGATTGTTGGAAAAGTTATGACGTATTTTTTCTATGTTTTTCATCACAAAAATGCATCATGACTTTTCCAACAACCCAGTATATATATAATTCTGCCTTGGTTCATTTTAGAAACCAAAATTGACCTTTCAAAGTTATCAGATTTCTAAATCCTGTTCTTATGCTCTTTCTGAAGACATAGACATTTAGCCAAGTGTATTATACCTTACAGACAAGCGGTTACACTGATAAAAATTCTGCTTCTCCTATTCATTTCTGAGTTGGACTGTCCCATATTTATTATAAATCTGTGGCCAAGTAATGGGTACCCCTTCTTTACACCAGTGAAGACCCTTTGACTTAGGAGGGTGGCTAATTCCTCCTTCACAAACCTCAAAATGACTGTGTTCCAAGAGAAAACCAAAGCATCTTTATAATATGTAGACGATGCCTAAGATCATAGATTTCACATTGTCTACACTCAAGTCCCTTTTGCATCACTAAGCAACTATGGGACCTTGGACAACTTGCTTAAGCTTTTGAAGCTTTAGCTTCTCCACCTGTAGAATAGGCATAAGGACAGTACTTATCTACCTAAGTGTAGAAGCAAGGACTGCATGAAACTATGTGTGCAAAGCACTCAGCCAGGTGCTGGGCGCATGGCTAAAGCAGTATTTATCAAGCACTTTTTATTAGGTAAAGAGCACTGTCTCAAACACCTGCTTCCAAGTCTGCTGTCTGTGTAGCCTTGTGCAAGTTCCTTAACCTCCCTGTACCACAACTTCTGCATCTATAAAATGGGAGTGATAATAACATCTACCTCATAGGGTTGTAGGAATTAAATTAATTAATACATTAAAGCACTTGAACTACCTAATGAGCTATGAGCTCAGCATTTTGCTAATTCTTTCTAAGTAAGCATTTACTATTAGGAACAAATCCCCAAACTGTTTGGAATCACATGTCAGAACCCCTGGTTTTCCTCAAGTCATCTCCGTATGAGACAAAAGCCCAGTCATTCATTCATTCAACATGCCATTATTGACACTGCGTGTGGAACAGACATTTTCTGAATCACTGGATCCCCAACAAGGTCTTTGCTGTCATGCAGTTTGTATTTTCGAGGGAGAAGACAGGAAATAAATATGGAAAAAAACAATTTCAGATAGTCATAAATTTTTCAAGAAAACACGATAAGGAGATGTGCTAGCAAACAGAAGGTGCTGCTTTACATATATGGTGGGCCCGGTATGCCTCTCTGCATAGGTGACATTTGAACAGGTGAATTAAATGATGACAAGAAACCTTCCAAGCAAAGAATCAAGGGAAAAGAAACCAAGGTCCTAAGATGGGAAGAAGTGTGCCTTGTTGCGGAGGGTGGGGGGGGGGATGCAGAGGCTGGAACAAAGTCAGAGAGTGGGGGCCAGGTCACGCAGGCACTTACAGGTCATGGCAAGGATTTCAGATCTAGAAAAGTCAAGAAATTGTTTAATTTTATTTATTAAAAAAATTTTTTTTAAAATATTTTATTGGGGAATTGGGGAAGGGGAACAGCGTTGGGTAAATGGGGAAGGGGAACAGCCAAGTTGTTGTCCTTGAATCTTAGTTGTGGAGGGCGCAGCTGGCTCAGCTCCAAGTCTAGTCACCATCTGGCCACCCGTCGGCAGCTCAGGGCAGTTCAGCTCAAAGTGCAGTCCATGTTCAATCTTAGTTGAAGGTGTCATAGCCCACCATCCCATGCGGGAGTCAAACTGGCAACCTTGTTGTTAGGAGCACATGCTCTCACCAGCTGAGACAACCTGCCACCTGTTGGTAGCATATTGGCAGCTCAGCTTGGGTGCAGCTCACTAGCCCATGTGGGAATCGGACCGGCAACCCTGTTGCTCAGAGCTTGCACTCTTAACCAACTGAGCCATTCGGTGGGCCCGAGAAATTGTTTAATTTTAGATTATCTAGTTTTGAAACTTACCAAGAATGACAGTAAGTAGTCCCAAATTCCTAGCCTTATTTCTAGTATATGTGCTGCCGAAGCGAGCACCCTAGCCTTATTTGTAGCTCCAGGAATAAAAGAAGGCAAATTATAGTGAATACAGAAGAATATAAAATGCAGATATACCACAAAGGTTTCTCTGAATGCATAAGTGAATGGATGATAGATGACGTAAAAACAACTGAACAAACCCAAGGCTTAGACTTGTATTTTTGTTGTTGTTGTTTCTCCATTCTTCAGAACAGCACTAGAGGGAATACAGTCTCATTGCCATTGCACAGCTGAGGAAAGTGAGGCTCATAGGCAGTATGTGCAAAGGTCCTAGTACACTGCCTGCAACATAGCAGCCCCTCAAAACATTTCCAAATAGCTTGTTCTATTGGGTCGTCAGGAAACTCATGATGTATTTTTCCATGTTTTTCAACGCAAAAATGCATCATGACTTTCCCGATGACCCAATAGTCTACAACACTTGAACACTAGTGAACAGTAAACAGAAAGAATATTGCTTCCATATAGGCTAGATGTATTTTCATTTCCATTTTGAACTAAAGCAGCATAGCCTTAGTCTATCAAAATTCTCCCAAACTGCAAAGGTTTTACCAGTCAAATGAGGAAAGCACTAAATAAAATGTCTCATATTTTCCAGAGCATGCTTTATAGTCTGTTCCCATATCCTGCTTTCCCCCCAAGCACCTACATCTATCTCTATTTTTCCGTGTATAGGTTTGTGTTAACATGGCTGTTTTATTTTCAAAAGACATTAGGATCATGAAAAAGCAAATGACTAACTATAGTATCTGAGAGTTGTTTTCCATTTAAAATCATTTCACGAAGACTCTGAACTAAAAATTATCTGCGGAGACTGCTGAGTAGGCGCTCACTGCAGTTTTTGTTGCCGAACAAGGTTATAACACAGCTTGTATTTTGCTCCAGAAGGGAAAAAAAAATCTTTAATACAAGTTAGACTAAGCATTCTGGTACTTTCCCCTAGTAG